AAATTTTTGGGTGAACTATACCTCAAATCTAATTCATATCTCCGTCTCACCACATTTTGTGTTCTCCTCACTCTCACCATCAAGGCTGCAGTTCAGCACGCTACATGTGAGGACCGCGGCCACACTAAAGTGCCATCTGGTTTCCCTGGCAACACTCTTCTGCTTGACATGCGTGGAAACCATTTCCATTATCTCCCTAGCAACAGTTTCCCTGGTGTCCCAGAGGTAGTGTCTCTTCACCTGGACAGCTGTAAGATCCATGAGATCGAGGGTGGCGCCTTCCGGGGCATGAAGGGGCTAATGTATCTCTACCTGTCTGACAACCAACTGTCCTCCCTGGACACAAAAACCTTTGAGGGTGCCCATGAGGTCATGTACCTTCACCTGGAAGGGAATAAACTCACTCGGTTTCCTTCTTCAGATACACTGGCTCACATTCCCAAACTCCTCGAGCTGCATCTGGAGAGAAACCTTCTAGCTAAACTAGAGCCTTCAGGGCTCCTTTCCTCGGTCCCTCAGCTGTCAGGCCTTTACCTCAATAATAACATCATCGCATCCATAGTGCCAAAAGCTCTGGATCCGGCACCCAAGCTGGATGTCCTTCATCTTGAAGCTAATGCGCTAACAGAAGTGCCGAGTGATGCACTAGGCCATACCCCTCTTTTGTCTGAGCTCCGCCTTTCAGGGAATCCGATTCGCTGGATTGGGCCAAGAGCATTTCGGGCGGTGGCTGAAAGTCTAAAGCACCTGCACATTGATAGAATGAGTCTTCAGAAGGTAGAGGTCAAATGGCAAACTACTAATAATATTATGCACTATTAAAGTATAGTTCACTCAAAGATGAAAATTCTGTCATTAATTTCTCACGATCAAGGCCCAGAAAGGTAGTAAGGATATTGTTAAATCAGTGGATCAACAGTAATTATATGAAGCTACAAGAATACTTTTTATGCGCAAAGAAAACAAAATTAACTTCTTTATTCAACAATTCTTCTTTTCCGTGTCAGTCTTCAACATGCGTCTTTCTGGGCCTTGAACGTGTCAGTTGCGTTGTTGTCTATGCAGGGTCAGAAAGCTCTTGGATTT